ATCCGACCCGGGCCCACCAAACAACAATGGTAGCTGCAACCAAAAAATGACTGGGCATTGTGGCGGGCGCCTGTGATCCCAGCTACTTGGGAGGCGGAGGCAGGAGACTCGCTTGAGCCCAGGAGTTGGAGGTTGCTGTGAGCTGTGACGCCACAGCACTCTACCCAGGGGGATAGCTTGAGGCTTTGTCTCAAAAAAAAAAAAGGAACCCTGAATTCTTTTTCTCAATAATAGTGTATGGGAATCACTGTCTGGTCATTTTAACTGCTATTAAATTATGGCTTCTAAGCCTTTTCTGTAGACTAAATGAGGAAATGTCACATTTATTTTTTCTTTTGAGATGGACTCTCATTCTGTTGACCTGGGTAGAGTCCCTGCATGTTGGCCTAGCTCACAGCAACCTCAGTCTCTTGGGCTCAAGGGATCCTTTTTTGCTTTAGTCTCCTCAGTAGCTAGGATGAGGCTAAAACAATACCCAGCTAGTTTTTTCTAGTTTTAGTAGAAGCGGAATCGTATTCTTTGTCAGGCTGGTCTCAAATACATGAGCTCAAGCAATCCAACTCCCAGAGTGCTAGGATTATAGGCTTCAGCCACTGTGCCCAGCCAGAAATGTCACTGTTTTGGGGTGGGGGGGTGACAGAGTCTTACTGTGTTGCTCTCAGTAGAGGCCTATGGTGTCACAGCTCACAGCAACCTCAAACTCTTGAGCTTAAGCCATTCTCTTGCCTTAGCCTTCCAGGTAGCTGGGACTACAGGTGGCCACCACAATAGCCGGCTATTTGTTGTTGTTGTTGTGGTTGTCATTTTTCGCTAGCAGGCCTGGGCCTGAGCCCCAGCATATGTGGCCAGTGCCATAACCATTGAGCTACAGGCGCTTAGCCAGAAATGTCACTTTTTAAAATCAGAAATTCATACTGACATTTCTAATTCAAGTTAGCATTGTAAGATTTTTAGATGGCTTTGTTCTTGCATCTCTTATTCTCTTTCTTTCTTTTTTTTTTTTAGAGAGACAGAATTTCACTTTATTGCCCTGGGTAGAGTGCTGTGGCATCATAGCTCACAGCAATCTCCAGCTCCTGGGCTTAGGCAAATCTCTTGCTTCAGGCACAGCCCATCATCTCTTCTTCTCTTGTACTGAAACTTCGGTTACTAAACATAAGTGTATTATAATATTGTAGAACAAATTATCAAAAGGCTTAACTGCCTAAAACAACAAGCATTTATTATTTCACACAATTTCTGAAGGTCAGATATCCAGGAACAGGGCAGTTTAATTATTCTCCCTCTGTACCTGAGACGTTGCAAATACAATGTTGGCCTAGATTACAGTTATCTTGGCTCGGCACCTGTGGCTCAAGTGGCTAAGGCGCCAGCCACATACACCTAAGGTGGCGGGTTCGAATCCAGCCCAGGCCCGCCAAACAACAATGGCTGCAACCAAAAATAGCCAGGCCCTGTGGTGGACACCTGTGGTCCCAGCTACTTGGGAGGCAGAGGCAGGAGACTCACTTGAGCCCAGGAGTTGGAGATTGCTGTGAGCTGTGATGCCGATGCCATGGCACTCTACCCAGGGGGACAGCTTGAGGCTCTGTCTCAAAAAAAAAAAAAAAAAGATTACAGTTATCTTAAGGGTTAGTTTAAAGCTGCACTGTTAATTTATTCCTAGCACTTTGGGAGGCTGAGGTGGGTGGATTGCCTGAGCTCAGGTGTTTGAGACCAGCTGAGCAAGAGCAAAATCCTCTCTCTACTAAAAACATGGAAAAAAATTAGTGGGACATAGTGGTGGGTACGTCCAGCTACTTGGGAGGCTGAGGCAAGAGGATCACTTAAGCCTAAGAGTGCTAGGATTACCAGCATGAGCCACTGTACTGGCCTACTTTAATTTAATTTAATTTAATTTAATTTATTTATTGCAGTTTTTGGCCAGGGCCAGGTTTGAACCCACTACCTCCGGTATACGGGGCCAGCGCCCTAATCCTTTGAGCCACAGGCGCTGCCTATCCTAATTTTATTTTTAATATGCAGAATGTTTATGTGTTTTTAAAGTAAAAATCATGTAAACAGAGTCAGAGAAATCTTACTTCTATCTCTGTACCTCTTTGACCTGTATCTTACCTTGTTATTTCCATCCTAGTAGCTCTATTATCACTTCTGTGGCCAATAGATGATCATTAAAAGTGTATTTATCCTTTCGATATTTATTTTTGTAAGTATACATTTGCTTATTTTTACAAAAAAGTTTATTTAGACATCATTCTCATACCATGAAATTCATGCACTTAAAATATACAGTTCTGTGGAATTTAGTATAATCTTAGAATTGTGCAGCCATCACCACAATTTCAGAAACTTTTATCACCCCCAAAAGAAACCTTGTACCCTTTAGCAATTACTCACCTTTCCCTGCCACATATACCCTAGACATATTAATCTACTTTCTTTCCCTGTAGCAATATTTTTCAACCTTTTAAAAAAATCTCACAGCACTATTGAACCTGTAATCAAACTTCCGTGGTATATTTAAATTATATTAATCAAGAAAAAAAGTAAGAATATACTTATTATGCTTTGAACGTCTTTTGAAAATAATTAATCTTTAAAAATTTTTGTGGTGGCTCGGCACCTATAGCTGAACCGGCTAAGGCGCCAGCCACGTACACCTAAGGTGGCGGGTTCGAATCCCCAGCCCGGACCCGCCAAACAACAATGACGGCTGCAACCAAAAAATAGCCGGGCGTTGTGGCGGGCGCCTGTGGTCCCAGCTACTTGGGAGGCTGAGGCAGAAGACTCGCTTGAGCCCAGGAGTTGGAGGTTGCTGTGAGCTGTAATGCCAGAGCACTCTACCCAGGGGGACAGCTTGAGGCTCTGTCTCAAAAAAAAAAAAAATTTTTTTGTGGCACACCTAAGATCTCTCACAGCACACAGGTTGAAAATCACTGCTTTTGGCTGGGTGTGTGATGCTCAGTGGTTAGGGTGCTGGCCATATGCTTAGAGGCTGGTAGGTTGGAACCTGGCCCGGGCTTGTGAAACAGACAAAAAATAGCCGGGCATTGTGGGAGATGCCTATCATCCCAGCTGCTAGGGAGGCTGAAGCAACAGAATTGCTTGAGCCCAAGAGTTTGAGGTTGCTGTGATGCTGTGGCACTCTACAGAGGATGACAAAGTGAGGCTGTGTCTCAATAAAAAAATAAAATAAAAAAGAAAATCACGGCTCTATAGATGGGCCTATTCTGGAGATTTCATATAAATGAAATCTTAAAATCTTTTGTAGGGTTCTTTGACTTAATATGTGCTCAAGGTTCATCTTTGTTGTAGCAATATATCGGTCCTTTTTTTTTTTTTTTGAGACAGATCCTCAAGCTTTCACCCTGGCTGCTGTAGCCAGCAACCTCCAACTCCTGGGCTTAAGCAATTCTCTCACTTCAGCCTCCCAAGTAGTGGAGACTACAGGTGCTTGCCACAATGCCTGGCTATTTTTTGGTTGTAGTTGTTGTTGTTTGCCAGACCCAGGCTGGATTCAGACCCACCAGCTCTGGTGTATGTGGCTGGCGCCTTAGTCACTTGACCTACAGGCACTGAGCCTTATATATTGGTCCTTATAGCTGAATAATCTGTTGCATGAATATACCACATTTAATTTATCTTTTATCAGCCAATGAACATTTGAGTTGTATCCATTTTGTGGCAATGAGTAATGAATGCTACTGTGAACATTTGCATGCAAATTTTCATTTGGACTTAGGTTTTTATTTCTCTTGAAATAAAATTGGTCTGTTGGAACTGCCACACTTTTTCAAAGTACCAGCAACATTTTATACTGTCACCAGTAATGTATGAGCATTCTAATTTCTCCATGTCCTAACCAGCACTCGATAAATTGTCTTTGATTTGTGTTACGTCTATCCTTGTGGTTATGAAGTGCTGTCTCATTGTGGTTTTGATTTGCATTTTCCTAATAACTAATTGTTGAGAATCTTTTTATGGGTTTATTGGCCATTTATATTTCTTTGGAGAAACGTTTATTCAAATACTTGGACTAGTTTTTAGTTTGGTTATTTTTATTTTAATTACTGAGTTGTGGCTCAGTGCCTGTGGCTCAAGTGGCTAAGGTGCCAGCCACATACACCTAAGGTGGCGGGTTCGAATCTAGCCCGGGCCCGCCAAACAACAATAATGGCTGCAACCAAAAAATAAATAGCCGGGCGTTGTGGCGAGCACCTGTGGTCCCAGCTACTTGGGAGGTGGAGGCAGGAGAATCGCCTGAGCCCAGGAGTTGGAGGTTGCTATGAGCTGTGATGCATGGCACTCTACCCGGGGTGACAGCTTGAGGCTCTGTCTCAAAAAAAATTACTGAGTTGTAAGTATTCCAAAGATTAATTTTAATATTAATCTTTTAACAGATATGTGATTTGTAAGTATTTTCTTGCATTTTGTAGGTTGTCTTGCCTGATGGTCTTGTTTACAACACAAAAGTTTGTAATTTTGATGAGGTTTAATTTATTTTTTTCTTTATTGGTTGTGCTTTTGATGTCATATCTAAGAAACCATTCTCTAATTCAAGGTTACAGAGATTTATTCTTCTAAATATTTTATAGTTTAGCTCTTTTTTTTTTTTT